CAATCGTTTTATAGCAATTCATGAGTGCTTTCTGACAAGTTATTACCAACTTCCCCCAGCAGCTCCCTAGAGCAAGACCTGAAGCCTTGTCAAGGAACACACGGTGTCAACGGATTTCTCAGCAGAACTTGACTCAACCCCTGCTCCATGTTTCCTAATTTGTGACAAGACAGTCGTTAAAGGAATCACATCTTTTGTGCCCCGTGTCTTGGCAGCACCTCCTATTGATCCAAAGGAACAAGTCCTATCTGGTTTTAACTAGGGAAACAGACGTTGGCTTCTCCTCAGAATGTTCTAGAAAAATCTGACAGGCCAGTCAAAGTAAAGAGCTGCCAAAGTGTTCTTTCTGTTCACTTTGCACCCTGTAGCATTTTTGTTCAGCATGGAATTGTTAATCCAGATTGGCAAGCACAAATCTATAGTTTATTCCGCTTCACTACCCTGTCGAGTTGATAACATTTCCACACAACTTTCCAAAGTTGAGTCTTGCTGCCCTCTGCATTTCAACAAATGGATGTGGACCCAGATCCAGTGTAAGGGCCTCCAATGCTGACAAAAGTTTGTCTTGCCAGTCCCAATTTCACTTTCAGAAAAGCTGTGTGACGAACTCCATGTGTACTTTCCACTGAGCTGACACTTAACACATGCATTTGTTCATGCTCACTGGTCACTCTGGGGAGTGGCTGAATCAGACACTGCCTGACCTCAATTCCAAGACAGGTCAAAATGACACTAACCTTATTGGCTTTGCGGGTGAAATAAATCATGTCCACTGACAACTGCACCTCCGCAGAATTGTTCACATTCCGATTTTAAGCAAGTAATGGAGGCTAGAGGGAATTTCTCAGACTTCAAAACAGAGTGTGTGTGGGGCCAACAGTATTCCACTAGACATATTCCTTTTACCCTGCTAGTCAAAAATTTTGACTGATGCAGCTTAGTAGGAAAAATGAACTGAACTAAAAATCAAGAATTGTAGACCAAGCATTCTGTTTTTAGCTATATACATGGTCTCTCTTAGGATAACAAGAAAGTGTCTTATCCAGGATCAAATCATTTGTCTGTCTAGCTCAATAGCATATGTTGAACTTTCCAGGGTTTCAGGCTAGAGGCTTTGCAAGCCTGTCCCAAAAACACTGTAGTATTCATTCATTTATTTATTTAGAATGCAAAGCATTGAGCGGCAGTCCTTCTTTACATGCTTTTTGTAAAAACAATAATGAGATGGTGCTTGTGAAATGCTTTCAGCATTCTAAAGCAAAATATGGTTTCTATTTTTGATGCAACTTGTGGAAAGAAAATTAAAGTTTGCTTGTCCTCTAAGAGCTACTTAGAGATCCTGCTTTGTCATCCTCTATCCTCTGTGTCCAACCTGAACAAAAGAGTTTTGTTTATTCTTCCTGTAACAACTTTCATTTTATCAATCTGCAATGTTCACGGCAACCACCCTATGCTAGTGAGGGATGGTCGTTCTGTATAATTGAAAATGTTGGTTTGAAAGAAACAGGCAATCTCATTTGGGGCATGCTTCAGATCTGCCTTCTCCAGCCTGATGCTCTCCAGATGGACTAGACAATGACCTGCCATATCCTCCCTAGGTCATATAGAACAGGAATTGTAGTCCTAGAATATATCAGGTTAGATGGTAGAAGCTTAACCTGCTACTATACTTGCCTTTTTATAAAGCCAGTCTCAAGGATCCAGTGGTGGTCCTTTTTATAACAATCACAACACCCCGTTTCCATATGGATTACTTCAGGTTTACATGGACCCCCCCACAACATGCCCTCCCTATTCCCACAGCCATTTCCTCTCTTGTCTGCCTTCTTGCTTTCCATTCCTTAAACCTCTTCTGCCAGAAGATCGGTGAGACCTCACTGCAAGTAGAAAAGGAGGATGCAACCTGGAATTATATCACAGAAGAGGCTCGTTAGGCCATTTAGTCCAGCTCCTGTTTACTGAGGGCCATCCAGAGATACTGCACCCTTTAAAGATTTATTTGCCCAAGGAGGAGGAGGAGAAAGCGGAGACAATGGCGGTAGTGCAAATGGAGGAAGCAAAAACAGCTAGGGAGGAAGTGGAGAGGAGGTGGGAAGGGGGTGGCAACAGGCATTTTGCCTCTGTCCAACTGCGTTGCCTGGTTTCACTAGGACTAAATTCTCCATGTTTGTACAGAGAATCAATTGATCAGAGGTTAGCATGGTTTAACTCCCATGTTCCAGAACAGGGCATTTTAGTTCTGGAGGGACACATTCTGTTGCAGGACTAAACCTAACCTCTAGTTTCAACCACTTGCCTTACACATTGGGACAAAGGCCAGTTGGGGTAAAATATGTCCCTACAGATCTACCACTTTTTGTCTCAGGCAGCGAGGTTAACATGCAGATCATGATACAGAGACAGAAAACTGTGACAATCTCCTGGTTATCAATAGTTTGGGGCCATTGGGAGGAGCAGATGGACATAGAAATTCTCAATAGCATCAGGAAATGCTAACAGTGTACGTTAAACCCACTCACTAACTGTAAACCTAAAGACAGTGCTATCCCTACCGCTTAACAACAATACACTGGAATTCTCATAGGATCAGAAAATACCCAAAACTCACACAATGCATTTTTTTTTAAAAAAATCACAATCCCTGAGGGTTAAACACAAACGATTTCTAATTAAAATAATAATGAAATGGTGATTTCTCACTCTCACCATAATCAACAGGACTTAAAAGTACATAACTTTGGCTCATATATCGTTAATCAGAAATTTTTAAAAAATCAAACAAGCTCTGTAACTGGAAGGTTTTTATACGATCAGATCTACAGTCTGCTCAGAAGTAAGTCCCACTACATTAAATCCTAAATTGTAGTAAGCATATTTATGATCGCAGTCTCACTTTTCACCTTGAACTCATTACTTCCTTTTCTTAGGATTTTCATGTTTTGATTTCTTGGGACATAAAACACACTCACACATTTGGCCTCTTGACATCCATAAATATTGGCAAATTTCTTCCATTTTGTACATTGCCTTTGCCTCACCCTCTATTTACAATGAAATCAGGGGTGTGTGCACAGGTGTTTCATCCCTACTTCTTCCATTAGGGTCCACCAAAATAAAAACAAACAAACAACAACACAACTTCCTGCAGAATGCTGAAAGATCAGAACACCCTGGGTTCCATATGGAAGGCAGGATCTAGAGTGTCCAAAGTGGAATAAAGGAAGCAGTGAAAGGTGGACCCCAAGCACTGGTATTCACTTCAGAGCCTTTAGAGAGATTAGGTCAGGAAAGGAGTAGACAACTATTTTGGCTTGGTTTGGCTTGGCTAAATATTCACATATGTGAATCGCTCAAATTAATTCTGGAAAGCAGAGAGAAGAGGGGCAAAACTAGTCCTTCCATTTTAAGTGCCCATGTGCAACACATGTGATAATTGAGCAACATGGTTGGAGTCAAGTTTGTGACAAAATTTACCTTAAGCTACCTGTACATGGAGTCTGACCGCTAGAATTAATAGGGCTTCTCTGAAGGACAGCACTAGATGAATCTAAGAGTTCCCGGAAAGAAAAAAATAATGAATAGAACTCTTATGGTTGTTGTGGGTTTTTTGGGCTCTTTGGCGGTGTTCTGAAGGTTGTTCTTCCTCATGTTTCGCCAGTCTCTGTGGCTGGCATCTTCAGAGGACAGCATTCTGTCTGGTGAAACATTAGGAAGAACAACCTTCAGAACACGGCCGAAGAGCCCGAAAAACCCACAACAACCGTAAGAGTTCTATTCATTATTTTTTTCTTTCCGGAGAATCATGCATAATACCAGTACATAATCCGTTACATGCCAGATCCATTGAGCAAGGTAGCTAATTAAAGAAGTAAGAATTCTTTGCATTTCTCATGATTCTAGAAAACACACCTGAAAATTGTAAAATGCTCAATGCTAAAGTGAAAAAAAGCTAAGGAAACTCCCCTCCTAGTGTACCAAGGTAGAGAAAAGCATAATGTGATAAATATATATTTGTCACCGAGATTTTCAAAGCACAGAAGCCCTGCCAGAAGAAATTTGACAGCCTTAACGTTACATCCATATTTAAATCTGTATATTTATGAAATCATAGTCCATAGTTCTGAGCATTAAGTTAATTCTTCTCCAAATTATTTTATCTTGTGCACGTTTTTCGCTGGGAAGAGGCTCAGGGCAAATCCAGACAGGCATATAGCTCATTATATGGATCGCTATTTCAGGGCAAATCCAGACAGGCATATAGCTCACTATATGGATCACTATTTGTGTTGTTTGGCTTGAATCAAATTATGGTGTCTACACAGGTTTTTATTCACAGAGAGCCATCCTGACTCCCTTTTAGAGCTATATTTCTCTGTTTTGGGGAATAGCTCTTTTGGCAACAGCTCGTTTAGAGCTGTCTTGCTCTTTTTCTATAATTTTTTTTGGTGTGAATTGGAGTGCTTCTGGTTATCTCGTTCTGTAGATTGTTCAGATAGTTAGTTTGCACCAAAATAGAGCTATGGGTAGTGTTATGCCTATGACACATTTGGTAGCTTGTGACATTGAAAGGGACAACTTTATTATATAGCGGTGCCTTGCTTAACAATTGCCTTGCTTAACGAGGAAATCGCTGTACAATTAGATTTTTGCAATTGCTTTTGCGATTGCAAAACAATGGTTTAAATGGTTTTTTTTCATTTAACGATGATTGGTTCCCTGCTTTGGGAACCAATTTACGCTTCACGATGATCAGCAAACCGCTGATCATCGGGTTTCAAAATGGCCACTGACTGAAGAAAATGGCCCCTCGCTGTTTTCTAGGATGGATTCCTTACTTTACAGGCACCGAAAATGCCCGTCGTATGGAGGATCTTCGCTGGCCGAGCAGGTATTCAGCCCATTGGAATGCATTGAACCGTTTTCAATGGGTTTCAGTGGGTTTTTTTAAATTTCGTTTGATGTTTTTGCTCTACAGCGATTTTGCTGGAACGAATTAACATTGTCAAGCAAGGCACCACTGTATATAAAATGGCTGTGGGAAAAGGCAGGGAAGGAGGCGGGAAGGGAATGTCATTAATCAAAAGGGGGCCAAATTGGAGTGATTTAAAGACCTGTCTGGACCCTTCTCATGGGAGAAAAAATTGATCAATGTGGACAGAAGGATTGCTTCAAGAGAGATATGAACAGATTGCACTAAATATCAGAAGCTTTTCAGTGTGAATCAGATCACTCCAACTTTCCCTATCTGGATGTGCCCTGAGTTCTGCATTTCCTTCCCCCACCCCCAATCCAGATTCAGCTTTATAACAATGGATTTCTAATAATGATTTGATGCAGAAAACCAACTATCTCAGGGATGTGACAGATTCTTGCTCAACCTCCCAAAATTTCTCAGTTTCTCCATTATGCAAACAGAGGATGTTAAGGCACCAGCTATTTCTTCCCCTTTAACGTTTGTTTTGTTGTGGTTCATGAACATGAGCAAGGGTGACAATCTGCTTGAACCCAGGTGACCTCCTTGGACACTAGAGAGTTCCTCTGCAGGATTCACATACAAACTGAGAACATTTTTGTGGATAACAGCAACTAGATTTGATAACAGTAAATACAATATTTGAAGAAGTGGGCTGTAGTCCATGAAAGCTTATGCCAAACAAAACTTGTTAGTCTTTAAGGTTCCACAAGTCTCTTTGTTATTTTTGCTGCAGCAAACGCACACTAAACGTCAATGAGGAATGCTGCTGCTTCTGATGGCTCATGCCTAAAGCTGAAGAAGTCAGCATTCAGATACACTCCAGCAACGAACAAAAGGCTGCATTTCAGTCATTGCTTTGAGCTGGATCTTGAGCAACATGCCATGCAAACAGCACCCGTGGTCCAGTCATGCAGATGACTAGGGTGGTGGGTGGAGAGATAATGTGGCAGAAGTAATTGTGTGTGTATGTGAGAATAAACAGCAGTGGCATATTTTATATGGTGTTTGTGTACCTTATGGTGCATATTCTTTCTAAAAAAAGCTGGCAACATTAGCTCTTGCAACCTTATTTCTGCCTTGCCATTTTCTCCACGATAACATTTGTTTTCTTGCCACCTCCATCTCTCCCTGAACATTTCTGTCAAATAAACAGTGAATATTAGAAAGGTTTCTTACATGCAACCTCACACACTTGAATCTGAGCATGAGAAAAACAGGAAATGCCAGCTCTCCAGTTCGAATGAAGCAAAGGCATATCCCGCATGGAACAGAGCAACCTTTTTGCTTTTCTTTCTAGAACTGTCTACACACAGCTTGTTTCCCCTCCTTTCTTTTTGAAATGGCAAGAAACCCCTGAAGTGTTTTCCTTTTTTTTACACCTTCCACAGCACAGCCAAATGTTTCATAAGCAACATAAACACATGTTAGGCAGAGCAAGGTGGCTGACTTCAAACAAGGATTTCACCCCCACCCACCCCACTGCCACAATACGCACTCAAAGTCTGCAAGAAGCATAAGTAACAAACTTTTTGGCTAAGGCCACAGTAAAGGGTTTTCCGGTGTTTACACTGCTGTTGCCAACCCGACTCCGGGATATATTAACAGTGGGTGCATTGATCCCAATCTTATTACTCCAGTCACCAATCAGGCAAAAGGACCACGTTATTCTACTCCCACTCGCTGTTTTGTAGTGTCGTAGGATCGGACGACTTGAGACTGGGAAACGACCCCATGTTCTTCTTGAGAAAATGCATAGCCATCTGGAAAAAAAAAAGAACAAAAGAGAGGAAAAAAAGATTTGGAATCAAGACCACAGTGTGCTTCTTAAACAGCTGAATAAGAAAGCCAATGTGGTCCACTAGAGTAACCCAGTGGACTGGGATGAGTGAAATGGGATTCACGACCACACTTAGCCACAATGAGATGAGATGTCGCGGATATAGGACTGGATTTCCCACAGTTTCTACTTTTAATCAGAATGCAATATGTACGTATCTATGTGCATATTGGGAGGGGAGAGACTGGGTTGGAGCAGTGGGACTGCAGAGGGTTTTATTGGTAACTCTTGCTAATCCATTTTGCCTGGGAAGGCGGGGGAATTTAGAGAGGAAAGGTGGCACAGGTGATAACCCTCCTTCTTTCAATCCTGATGCCCTCATCTAAGTCTTTCCTTCCTTGCTATCCTTGCTACTTTGAACTAAGAACAAACAGCCTTGGAAGATTTGATGGCAGATTTCCACTCCAGGGGTCAATCCACATATTTTGGCTATTCTTAGATGCCACCCTGTGGTCTGCAGCTTTACTTTACCCAATGTCGTATTCAATTTTGACGGCAGGGACATGTGAAGCTCAGTATAAGTTTGGGCTGAGGAGCTGAATCCCAAGCCATTCTCGTAGAGGTAAGGCAGAGCCACTGCTTCTTCCTCCTCATTTTCTGTCATCTTTCAGAGCTAACCAGTCAAGGCATTCCTATTGCCAGCCATGAGTGCATTGCCACTCTAGCCTAGTTGGCGGTGGCGGCAAAAGCCTTTGCTTTTGAAAGAACTGGATATAAATGCTTGAAAAGAAATAACTAAACCAGCCCTTCCTGCAGCCGAATGATGGAGGAAGAGGAGGAGGATGGCATCACAGAGAAGAAATGTATGTGGTGCTATGTGCTTTGGAGAATACTTCTGAAATCCAGTGCTATGCATATTATCTCTCCTGCTTGGTGTTGAGGAAGAGTACCTGGGAAGGAGCCCCTTGATGATTCATATTACATTTCCCCCCTCCTCTGTCCCTTCATACCTGTAACTGGTTATTGTGGCATCATTTCCCCGTCCTACCCTGGTTAGAGCATTCTCTAGCACTCATCAGCCCTGGCACATGCTCAGCATATGAATCATCCCTATAGTCTTATTTGCTGTGCATGTCATGCATAAACACATACATCCCATAAACTCCACCTGTTTCAGACTGGAAGAAGCACGGATGCACTGTGATGTTCAGAAGTAGCTCAAACACTCAGAATTTCTTGGTAGTAAGGGGGGTGATGGTAGGTGGGAGGAGGTTTACACTGGTTGATGCTGGGAAATGTGTGTGTGCATGCATGTGTGTTCGTGCACAGCTCTTGATCAGTGGTCTTTTTCCTCACATCTCAGAGACACCCAGATTTGGCTCTAAGAAAAAGCTTGAGACCTTTCTAGTGTGTTTTGAAAGTTTCATACAGTATATCCAGGAAACCATGGCCTTTGCTCTGTGTTTTTCTCATTTGCAGAACAGCTGAGAATGAAAAACCCATATAACAGGTCTTAACAGAAACCTGCTACCAACATTTGATTTCAAACAGGTGCCAGTGTAAGAACCACACATGGTCCTAAAGACTTCTTTTTTCTCCTATCTGTTACTGACTCTTGAAAGCAGTGTGGCCTCACCATCTTGCAATCTGGTGTGCTCCCTCCCTGCTTCTCTTGGTCAGACCTCTCTCTCCTTGGTCCCTACAGCTGCAGCATCTTGACCACATTATCTTGGATCTTCATCAACCCCCTTCCCTGCTTTCATTCCACCAGACAAAATGACAGGAAAGTTCTAAATATTTCCCACAAGGCATCACCATGTAGAGTGTATTACAGTAATCCAGGTGGAAGGTAACTAAAGCATGGGTCACTGTAATTTGATTAGACTTCTCAAGGAATGGGTGCAGCTGGTACCCTAGCTTTACCTATGAAAATGCATTCCCAAATATATGTGGAATGGGGGCATCAGAGATGAAGCCAAGAGTAAACCCAAGCCTTTGCACTGAAAACATAACACTATTCTCCATAGTTCAGGTGGCTATCCACTGATTTCTCTTCCAACTCCACAGTCACACCTATAGAATTTATTTCCCCAACCCTATGCGACACTACACTACGTTGGATACATTCATGTAGCGTGTAAGTCACATAAATACAATCTGTATGTGTTTTGTATGAGATCTACAATAGCTGTTTTCTCCTTAATTGGGGGAGGGGGTGGGACACAGCATGCCTTAAGATATTTCCACATCTAGGGGAAGAAGAGAATTTACCACAGCCCTTTATAGTAAATAGTAGATCAATTCCTATAGCAAACAAATGTGTGCAGTATAAAACCAACCTACTCTCAATGCAAAGCAACATTTCCTTTTTTAAAACAACATAGTGGTTTAATTGTTCTAAGATCCTATCATACTATTAATGAGCTCAACTGTGGATCTGGATCTGTCACATATACTCTGCATTTTCCTATACAGTAGTTTGACAGAGATACCATTAATAAGCCTTAATCTGGCAGCCTGAATAATAATTGTAAAGAATCCAACAGTCTCCTAGAAAAATCATTTTCTCGTTGTGAAGATCTACCTTTGTTTTTTGATAACAGTGTGCTTTTGTATAATTATTTAATACATATTTCTTTGTTGGTCTGCTATTTTTTCTGACTCTTATTCCTATTTGCATTTCTATCCCATCTTTTCACTACAGTGCTTAAAGTGGCTAACAAAAAATCGTATTACAGACTAAAAAACAGGAAACAAAAAGCAGATTCAGCCATAAAACCACTGAAAACAGTGAGTAATCAGAAAGCTTTTATGGCCCAACACATTTTCCTTTTCTTAATGTTCCTTTTGATAATATCAGTTGACAAAGGATGGCAAAAGTTGTGGAAGATCATGGATCAACAATTCTCATGTTTTCTAGTCTTAAGAATATAAAAAAAAATTCATGCTCATGAGAAAACCATGCTAGCCCTGAAATGGACTGGCTCATTTAACCCTTGATTATCAGTATTTAGGATGGACAGGCAAGAGGAGATGAAATTTATTTCAAGAGCCTCTTATTCTTCTTCCTTGTGGCTTATCCACTTGTTAAAGCTTTGGGGTGCCTTCAACAATGGGTGTAACTTCAGAGACCCCAGTTGAGGGCACACATGTTTTCCTCTATTACTTCTACATGTGACAGAATATTCACTCTACCATTATCACTGCCACCATCACCCATTTGTTCTAGCAGTCATACAACCACTCCAATCCTCCCCTCCATGTGTGAGCATGTCTGAATGAAATTTTTCATAATGATCACTGGCTTTTCAAATAATGAAAATGAACTTATCCACAGCCTAAGGTTGAAAGGTGAAGCATGACATCAGCACTGAACATTCTTTTGATTTCATAAACTAAGTGAGGTCAGGCCTGTTTAGTCCTTGGATGGGAGAACAACAGGCAACACCAGCGACCTTCTGGTAGGCCTGTGAAATCAATACTGCCTGCCACCTCAAAGAACTGTTCTTAATCAGAGTTGTGGCATTACTGGGCTAGCAGGTCAATAGTTAGACACAGCATAAAGCAGCTTCCCATAATTCAGTGGTTCCCAACTTTGGGTTCTCAGATATTCTTGAATTATAACTCCCAGAAGTCTTCATCGCTAGCTATGCTGGCCAGGATTTCTGGGAGTTGTATTCCAAGAACATCTGGGGACCCAAGGTTGGGAACTACTGCCATAAGCCATCTCTGGCACTAACCTGGCTTGAATGTTTTTATGTCCCTATCTTCAAAATGGTTATACGTAATAATTTGCATTTGTGTAAACTGCAAACCCAAGGCATACATAAACAAAGAGCTTTGGTAGAATTGTAACTTCCCTGATGAAGACACTGGAAGATCTTGAAAGCCTGCACATATTTTAATGTCTGTGGAGGGTGGTCATTGTTCTGCAAAATGTATTTCCACAACATACATAAATGGTTACACATAAATAATCCCTGAACTGGAATACTTTTAGCAAGATGGGCAGAGATCAGGGGGAATGACCCCACCGTAATAAGGTAAAGTGGCGCAGGTACTTCAGGTAGCAGATAAGAAGTAGATGGAAGCAGCAGCTGCAACACGTTTTTAAGACAACCTAGGTTTGTGTGCCACATGGCCTTCCTTGAACTTCAAGCTCCCTCCTGTTGCCTACAGGTGCCATGGAGGACAATTTACCATTACCAGCAGTTCAGTAAGTTGCTGGTCAAGCTGAAACAAGACATATTCATTCTGCACATCTGATCCATACTGGACACTATGTGATTCCGTCATCTAGTGATAACATTTAAATATCAAATGCACATATTAAACTTCAGCCAGAATCTCTTTAAAATACATTTTAGAGCAGCCAGAACACTGCAATATGTTTCATCTGATGAGAGTTACATGGATCATAGAAAACCTGGGGTGGGGTACAGGATTACTTTTTTGGGCTACAGGTCTCAGAATCTTCCAGCTAGCATGAGGCTCAATGGGGCTTGTAATCCAAAAAAGTAAAATTTCCAAGTCCTGGGATATTCTTATGTGTCATAATAGTAAGTAGGGGGCAACTTCTTAAGACCCTAATAGGATTTCTAGGTATATGAGATATCTAAGGAATTGCTTTACCATTGCCACATCTCCAGTAGGCGTCCACAGCAGAGAAGGCAACTGAACCCAAAGTCTCCTGAGTCCCAGTCTGTCACTTGGTCCACTGGACTACAATAGTTCTGGTTTATGAAATGTTATATGTTTTTGCAAGCATACAAAGCCATTTGAAATCTTGGGAGACACAAGCATCCCAGTTCCAAATTAATGAGCTATTTTTGGCTGCCTTACCTACATGCCAGATCATCCTTATCTAATCTTTGATTTGGAAAAAAGTAGAGAACATTGGTATGGGCGTAATTAGCCACTCATTGCATCAGCGTACTTTCCATTTCTTTCTAGAGGACATGTGCAGGATTGTCTGCTTTGTTGGTTGGTTAGCTTGTGTTTTACTTCTTTACTTACGTGAGACACCTTGCTGGACAGAATGAGCACGGAAGAGACTCGGAGGAGTTTTCCTGCCAAGCCTTTTTAACAAGTGGTCACGTTCATTCATGCTGTAATAACAAAAGCAAACCAGGTGAGTTCCTAAGACAAGCATAATCAACCTTCATTAAAAAAAGAAACAAAAATGATGCCATGGGATAGTACAGGATCTGTATGTCTTCCCCTAATACCCTTCTAGAAAAAGGCCAACACTCAATCAAGTCTGATATGTTCTTGGTGGAGAAGCACAGCTGTCTGCACACACAGTGCCTAAACAACTTCAATATCGCAAATACATTAAACTTCAATATCCCCAGTGAGTTGAAAGGTTCTGTGACATCTCAAATGAACAGTCATGCATTTCCTTGGTGCCAAAAATTGCTGTAGAAAGAAAGAACAACTTGAAGTTATGTAGAATATGGTAAAGGCCATGGCCTGTAGAAATCTTTTTCTTGGGCTAAAATCCCACAACCCACCCCCAACACCAATACAGCTAAGGCTCATGTATCTGCAGAATACTGAAAGCTATGGTCTAAGAAAGGTAGTTTCTTTAATCTCTAGAATGATTTTCATTATACTTTTATGCAGTCCTATTCAGATGTACTGAAATATTTTCTAATATTTTAAACACAATTCCTGTTTTTCAATAAGCTCTGCTTAAAGTAGTGAGGTCATCTGAACCATCTCATTTTATGCCCAACAACATGCATTTTTTAATCTGGAGCCACTGAATTAAGATGAACAGTAGGAGTTTCAGTATGGATTTGGACAACATACTGTATATGTACAGCACTGTACACACAGTGCACAGTCAGTGGGTCAGATTTGATAGGTCAAAAGATAGGCCACCAACTTGAAGAGCTATATAAAGGATTAAGACAAATAGTTGAAGGATAATGATATCCATGTCTACCACTCATTACAGCTATACGTCACCTTCAGTAGCAGAAATGGTATGCCTGTACAAACACCTGTCGCTTAAAAACATGAGGTCTTCATGTCCTGCTTGTGGGAATGCCAGAGGCACTGGGTTGGCCACGGTGGGACCAGAATGCTGGACAAATCAGACCTTTGGTCTGATCTAGCAGGACTCATGTTATGCTATTACGTAGCTAAACTAAGAAGGTAAACTTTCATCTTCAAAAAGATCAATAAACACAATAGAGGAATAGTCTAAGAAAACCATGTCAGGATCACTCTATGCCCAAGTCCACAGCATTTGTCCACCAGAAAATAAATTAATGGAAACATGCTGATTCTTCCTTAGGATATTAAGGAAATTGTTTGATTTTTCCTCTAAATGGAGCAAAAACCAAAGTCCAGAAGGGTTGACCTGTATAATCTGATAGTATCTGCACAAATTTTACAAGGTAAATGGGAAGAACGATGGCATGCAGGAACCGGGCACTTAACATGGGCTAGCAAACTTTCATTGAATACTGAAAGTTAGAAATTTTAAGGTTTTATAAGGTTTCATACTTATGTGACTGGTCTAAGGACCGTAAATAAACTTATTGTATTGTATTGTATTGCATGGCTATGTGCCAACATGCAGACTGTGCGCCAGCACACAATCTCCTCTTACGTACATAGTGTGAACAACGATAGATTAGGTGCCGGTCAACATGCAGACTGTGCGCCAGCACACAATTTCCTCTTACATAGTGTGGACAACGATAGATTAGGTGCCGGGTGCATAAAAGTCTGTGGATAGTTCCTATGAAGAATGTAATAACATCAAGACATGGTAGTGTGTGTGGTCAGTAAGTAGCCATCCTTGGACCACTATCGACCATTCAGCTTTTAATGTCAGTGAAAATCTGCCCAAAGACACCCTAATGAAGCTCTAGTACAAGCTCTTCCGATAAACGGAGACTCTGGCTGAAAAACTTTGACTTTAAATTGGTTTCCAAAGATCAAACTAAACATTATGTATAACCTGTCATTAACCTGAAAACTCATCAGTGTTCCAGAGATATGATTTAGGTAGACTTTCATGACTGAGAAGTCTGAGTTGCTAAGAGAGCTGGTGTTTCTCTCTTGGAGACCAATAGCAAAGCACATCCAAGTAATCTGCAAACTATGCTAGGTGAGAGAAACTCTTCTTGTGACAATCATGGGCTGTCAAAAGTTAAGGAATTCTTTCATTAGAAGAGGGATTGCTTTAGCTACTGAAAGCACATGATGGGTTATTTGTATCATAAAGTTTGGACCTAAAAAGATGTGTACAAAAGAACAGTTGTGTACCAACGACAGGATGCTTTCTGAAGAGATAAAGAAATGGTGCAAGAAGACTTTGAAAATATAATGTGGGAATGTTCTCTCTCTTTCCTTCCTTTCTGAAATGCATTTGTATTGCCAACTGTTTGGCACTACAAATGCAATTTCCAAAATACTCTCTTACAGTCCCTTAGTGCTCATATTGCTTGATAAATACAAGCGGTTCCCCTAAGGGAATGAAAAAAACCCTCAAGATGTTAACAGATCATTTCTAATAAGGAGATTTCCTGTTTAACGCCCCAAATGATGCATTTCCCCCTCTGACAGAGGAAGTGGGTTGGGATGGGAATAATTGTTCAGGGCATCAGTGAAGCCTCCAATTAACAGGCGTAAAAAGAATCTTTGTTTTGCAGTCCCTCCTCATCCCTTCCCTGGAAAAGCAAGCCGCCCCTGTGCCTTGGCAAGAAACATCTGTCTTTACACATTCAGATGAAGAGCATCAAAACAAACAGAATAATTCAAAGCTGACCACAGGGTCCCACCGGCTCATTTGTGGAGGAGTAATTAAAAAAAGATGAGCTTCGCCACCAATTAACCTACCAGGCACTAATTAGCATTAATGAGGATTCGAGGCACTTGCTGCAGCTTGACCCAGAATGTCCTCCAGAGTTCACTAATTGGCTGATGGCAAAAGCAGGGCACCCAAAGAAGGGGGAGGTTAGAGGAGGGAGGATGCAGGTGTCTCACTAATAGAACAGGCACACTCTGGGAAACTGTGTGCATCTACACACACACACACACCGCTATATACCTCTAAACCCCTAACAAGAACTACAGCTTAGAATCATTGCTCTGATATGCTTTGTGAGCAGCTGTACAGAACAGTGGTGGGTAATTGTTAAGAGTCTGGGGGGAAATGGACTCCAGCTTCCAGGATTATCCAGCCAGCATGTCTGGCTGGGGGATTCTAGCCCCCCCCAAGGAATTTTTCTAAGTTCTTGCCATTTTTAACAGATGGGTCACTAGCAATCTACTGGGGACATGAACAAAAGCTCTGCTGGTTTCTTATGCTTCTGACTTCTTATCTCTTACGTACTCCACTGCAGTCAGTTGCAAGCAAAACACCCTTAGAATGGAGCAGACTAGTGGCTGGCAGCCACAGCCAGGGATAAAGATATTCAATGGACACGGAAGACAGAGAAATGCTCTCACAAAGCTGGTGAGGTCCCCCCACCTCCCTCCAAATGCTATCAGGCTTTTCTGTATTTATTAATGCCTTGCCATGAAATAAGCAATTTCCCCCATTAAATATGCAAATTGTTCTGTGAAATAAGCACATTTTCACTGTGAAATACAGAATGACACATGGCCTACTTTAACTTTGTCACCAGCCTTACAGTGTCCCCCTCCGGTTCTTTTCCAAAAGTACAATTAATAACACTTTAAAAAAAAAAAAAGATTCTATTTGCTAACATATGCAGTGATACTTTAGAGAGAGAAGGAGAAAAATTGAGATAGTAAAGGTGACAGCTCTCGGAATTAAATGAAATAATGAACAACTTTAGAAGAACAATTAACAGCTCACTCCTATACATGCCTAGTCAGAACTTTGTCCCTTGGTTTTCAATAGGGACAATTTGTCAGGTAACCATATACCGGATTGCAGTCTTAGGACCTATCCTGTCAGGGGAATTTGGAACAGTTTGGTTTTTCCTCTTCGGTGTGATCCATTTTATCTCTCACTAGAGCTATTCTTCCCTTCACATTGCAGATGTTTATTCTCCTGTGAGGAGGGTCCACACAGGTCTTTGGCTCTCTAGTTTACTCGTGAACAAGGTTTGCTTGCATGTAACGTTTCCTGGTTTACCTGAAAGTAAAGAGGCAGCAGCTGCAGCCACCAAGGACAGCAGCAGTACATGGGGGGGAATTGGGGTGCAGGTTGGGGAGACAGAAGGAAGGCAACCCCCCTTTTCTGCTGGGGCTCTTTGGACCACTGGTTTATTCAAGCGTAAGTGTAGTCAGTTTACTCATGAGTAAGGTTACCTGGGTTAATCATGAGTAAAATTAACTAGTTTATTTGCAGATAAGGAGACAAACAGAAGAGGGGAGTGGCAGTAGGATAAATTTATAGTTTTTATTTTACTGAACTTTTATTAGGGCTTTATCAGTGACAATATAGATATTTTTCAGTGAGTTAAAATAAAATCAGTTATCCGGCTTTAAGCCTGTCCAGATGGTACAGTATATAGATCAGTATTTGGATAGCTGTTGGCAGAGTTTGGTGCAAACAAAATTGTATCGTTCACCTGTGTTTCCACTTAGATCAACCCATTCTGCCCCTTTAAGAGCTGTTCCCCTCCTTTCTGGTACAGCACTAGGGGCTTTTGGCACAATTCCGTGTGCTCCTAGTTAGCTCACTGTGGCTAGTTAGGATGGCTACTTCACACCCACATAGACCCGTGAGTGGTGTTATCAGAGGTGACAACCCTGTGACATAATAAGAGGGTTCTCCATCCTCCATTGTAAAAGAGAGAATGTAGAAACGGAGCTGTTCCCCTCCTTTCTGGTACAGCACTAGGGGCTTTTGGCACAATTCCGTGTGCTCCTAGTTAGCTCACTGTGGCTAGTTAGGATGGCTACTTCACACCCACATAGACCCGTGAGTGGTGTTATCAGAGGTGACAACCCTGTGACATAATAAGAGGGTTCTCCATCCTCCATTGTAAAAGAGAGAATGTAGAAACGCCCTCCTCTCTGGTACAGCACTAGGGGCTTTTGGCACAAGTCCGTGCGCTCCTAGTTAGCTCATTGTGGCTAGTTAGGATGGCTAGTTCACACCCACATAGACCCG